GGTGAGGGGGAAAAAAAAAAAAAAGAGTTGGGTGGAAATAATTAGTGCTTGCTGATAGAGGGAGAAGGGGACTGTACACAATGAGGCACCCTTGGCAGCTGCAGTTTTCATTGCTGGGGAGAGGAAACCCTGCAGAAGTCGAGAAGGAAGGGAAGGGCTTATCTAGTTGTTTTCCTGTGTTGTGAATTTTCATCGAGGGCAACAGATGCCTCTCTAAAAAGAGCTGCATTGAAAGAGGACCTGACAGAATGTCAGCCAGTCATTGGCCAGTACCAGAGAGGATGCCTTGCAGCTGCTGGGCTTGCTTCCTATCAGCTACTCATGTTCCCAAGTTAATGCTCCTTCATGTTTCGTCTTCCTCTTCTCATGTGAATTTCTGAGATTTCTGTCTTTTCTGAGAGCCTGCACAGTGTAGTTTATTTTGGTAGGATTCTGAGAAGAGGTTCAAGCTGATGTTTTTTTTGTAAACAAAATAGTTTTTGTTTTTTTAAAGAAACTTAACCCTTCTGCCAGTCGGTGCTCAGCATAAGGGCTATACATGTTTTATGCTTGTCCACATTTGAGATTATCTTTGTAAGGGAAAAGTCATAGTATAAATTTAGTTGCAGTTCTAATGTCAAATTAGTTAAATAATTAAGTTGGAAAAACTTTTCATCACTTGGACAAAAATGCAATTTATTCTTCCCCCCTTCCACAGCTCTCCCCACTCTTCACCAGGAATAGTGTTCCAGGAAAATTTTTCATTCTAAAAACAGAAAAACAAAAATAACAAAGCAGAGGCAGAAGGAAGTGTTCTCAAAATTATCTTTTATTTTTCTTAAAGCAATATGATTAGCATAAGAAAGATTATTTTAAGCCATCTGAGAGTTTTTCTAGTATTTCAGAGAATGTAGCAGTCTAAATTATTTTAACATTGTAGTATGTGAGTTAGGTGGTGTGGGTTGATGGTTGGACTTGGTCTTTTCCAACCTTAATGATTCTATTATTTCTATGATTTTTCTATGATTCTCCTAATATGCAATGAGCAATTTTGGTCAGAGTTGTTAGACTGTAGAGTGCTGTGATTTTCTGAAAAAATATGCCTTTTTCAAGATTTGCTAGTCAAAATATTTTCCATTCTAAAATGACATTAAATTTTTTTACAATACCTCTTTAAGCCATTCCATTACCTCTCTTATTGCTTACATATTTTTAGAAATTTTGTCAGGACTCTAGATAAAGAGTTTTTGCTTAATAAATTCTGATTTAGGTCGTTTTTTGACATCTACTGATTTTTTTAATATTACATTTTATATCCTGTTTTGTGGTTTGAATACATTGGAAAACTGATACAATATTCTGGACCATTTTGGCAGCATAGAAACACCATTTTTTGGTGTCAGCCTGTGTTTTTTATTATTTCTTATAATAATCAATGAGATTCATATTGTGGTTTGCTGCTAAGAATGTATAATATACACATTTCTGTCTGAATTTCTCTAAGTGATCAACGCTGAGCAAATTATCAGGTCTCTGTTTAAATGGGTTCCATGTTATCTCAATCAGATTGACAATCTGATTAAATTTTGCTAGGACCTCTTCATAATAGCATAAATCACTACAACCCCTAACTTCTTAAGAAGAAAAATAGCCTTTCTTTCTTTCTTTCTGGCTAATTGACTGTTTTTTGTAAAGGCATCAAAGGACATCTTAATTGGCTTGTGGGATACATGATTAATAGAGGAATACCTTTCATCCACAGTGAAAACTACAGTATGAGACTTCATTGTTTTCACTTGAAGAAATCGTTATGTAATTTCAGTACTTACTGAAATGGAAGATGTTCATTAAAAGTCTGAGTCTGGCTGAAAAGCATTCAAGCCTCAAGTCAAGTTAATATTTTCTGTAAAAGTGAACAGTCAATAATACATAAAGCAGTTTGGATTTAATTTACATAATGTAAAAGAAAACTGCTTCAGAGTAGTGCACCATTTTCTGAGAATATGAAAATTATATGTCTTTATTTGATGAATCCTAACAATGTATCATATTAAAATGCATAGTAATCCCTATGCTCTAATAGGCTTGTTAAATATCTGGATTGTCTTTAAGGGAATAGCATTTTCTTATGAGCTCACATATTGTAAAAGGTGGTATTAAAGTGTGATAACAGTTTGAGTAAACAATGAAGACTCATGGGGTAGTTTTCACTGGGGAAGAAAGAATACGCAGAATACTTTCTTATATGGCTGCCCCATAAATCTATCAAAACAAATTATTTAAGAGGAAATAGCTGAGCTTAAGAAAACAGTAAAATTTATGGTCATTTCCTTCATTCTTGAATAACACCTCATTCTCTTCTGGTCTTTCACACTATATATCCAGACTTAGTAGCTACTGATGCCTGGGATTTCAGATAGTAACTGATGGCCAGGGATTAGTACTTTAGTCTGATTTTTCTCTTACTGTAGGGCCTTGCCCTTGAAAGATTATGTTCTTGAAATTTTAAACTGGGAACTTAAATGCCCATTTAGTCTCATGGTTGTTGTGGCAGTGCATGCTAGAGATCATAACCTAGAAGCAAATTTCAGAAAGGAAAAGCAGAACAAAGCAGCCTCGTATTGTGTCTGAGGTGATTTTGAGACTGTGTTCATAATCAGGGTATTGGATTCAGTCTTGTGCTTTGGAGACCGAGTTTTCCACAGTACACCATTCGGCTTGTGAATGGATTTATGAGAGTATTGAAAATCAGTATGGTCCTAGGTGGACTTGTATCTGCTTAGTCTGATGACAGAACTTCAAGAATTTGGAGTAGCAGCATTCAAGTCAACTAGGGTTCACTTTGTAACTCGTGAGTTATTTGTCAGTCACTAGACAGATATATTTTCAACACTTTCAAAGCCATAAGTATTTTATCTTTCTGTAAATTACATTTCCTACAAACAAGTGCTGAATGAACATGAGTGTGAAATGGTTAAGAGGATTTATCAACCAGGAACTAGGGAGATTTTTGCATGGGCTGGGACCTAATAAAGTATGCAAGAAGTGAAAGTAGAGCTAGTACAGAAAAGCAAGAAATAAAAAAAATTTAAACTAAATATGAACCTAGCAAGAAGTGTGGCAAATAGTTCATCCGAAAAGAAAGCAAAAGAAATGAAGTTGTTTAGTTTAAGGAGAAAGATCAGGAAAAAATGTGAAAACAGCTTCATATTTATAAAACTACAAAGTGAAAAGGGCAAATTGTTCTTTGCTTCTGTTATGAACAGAACAATAAAGCTAACAGCTTAAACTCCAGCAAGAAATATGTAGGTGGCATACACCTTTTGCAATTTTTCCTGTCAGATATTTGTTGGTCTGACTTCACCCACAATATAAGTACTAAGTTGTTGCAGGAAGGCATTTTCATTTATGCATACTGAACTGTAATTCCCATTCTCGAAGCAATTCTCTTAAAAAACTTGGTTCTCTTTCCGATAAAGACAGTGGAATTATTGCCAGCATTAGACTAGCGGTAAAATTTCACCTTTCTGCAGGTAGATAGCACAAAGCCTCTGTCATACTTAAGTCTCACTTGGACCAACAAAATAAGATTTCTGTGAAGGGTAAGGCTTGTTCTTAATTCATGATTCAGTAATAATTTTCCCTATAAATTACAATGTGAAGGCTGCATATTTCAGCTGTGTTCAATCCAGTGTGATAAATAAGGCCAAAAAAATTTTGCATTCAACATTAAATGTCCTGACACATGATTTGGAAAACTGCGGAACTATCCAAATACTGTGTAGGATCTGTTTGGAATCTTGTTGTTTGCTGAGAGTATCTTACAGGGAACAATTACAGAAAATATGTGAAATTTATATAAATATTAAACAACTCCTTTAATTCAAAGGCTGGCAAATGTTCTACTTGGAGAACTTTACATGACCAAGAGGCCAAGTTACTGGACAATGGCCAGCACTTCTCTCACTCCTGTATAATTAATTCAAAAAGATTGATGTACCATAAGAATAAAAAGTTGAAATATGTATGTTCTTAAATACTGTTTATACATTTGTGAGGGTGGAAGGTGTTAAGGATAAAAATTATTGCATAGCTGTTAAATCAAGTTTGTATTTAAAAGCTAGAAATAGCCTGCTTGTGAAGCTGAATGATAAATATGATAATGTATGGAATACCAAGCAAAATACCTGGTTTTTGTCAAAATTTCTGAGGCTATACCATATGGTCAGGTTAAGTTGCAGTCTCTGTAGGTAGCATGCATTCCATTATATTTTAGCAGCAAATGGGTTTTTATTTCTTATAGATTTAGTTTTGCTTGAATGTATGTAATATCTATATAATAAATATAATATCAAAGAAACATGAATCTACTAATTCATAACCTGTGAAACTTTTATATATTTTCTTGGAAAGATGTCATGACACCTTTCTGAGCTAATACAGCACTGGTTCATCACCCTGTAAGAATGATATGAGTGTAGGATTCAGTGTGTCCATGATATAATACTTCACTGCACTTGGTAACGCTCTTATCTAGTGCCCTACGCTCCCAAATAGCCAATAAAGTGAATATTTCCTTCTGTGAATGATGGTGTTACACTTTGCTGTACAAAACATTAATCCCACTGATGTCTGTTAACTTCTTTTTGTTGAACTGGAAAAAAATGCTTATTCTAAGAAAGGAGATAAGAAAGCCTAACTTGAGAGTCTTGGGTACTCTCATAGAGCAATTTACATACTCATGGAGATAACATCACTTAGTTCGGTTGCTCCAGTGACACGACTCTTTTTTGCTGCCCTTCATATAGGCAGGCAGGATGTTTTGTTTGTTTTGTTTCGTGTTATCTTTTGTGATTTTTCTGGAGATGACCCCCAAAACCTGCAGATTCTTCAGAACGCTGGGCCTGCTGGGCAGACTTTTCTCAAGTTATAAAATGGAAAGAACAATTCTTTTATCTGCAAAGGTGTTATAAAATATTGTTGATATGATATTCAGTCACGTTTTTGTTTTTCCTTTCCAGGATTACTTACTGCCATCTGCCTTTCCAGAGTAAATGGCTTTATGTTGGAACAGAGAGGGGAAATACACACATTGTAAATATTGAGTCCTTCATTCTTTCTGGCTATGTTATCATGTGGAACAAGGCAATAGAGCTGTAAGTGCAGACGTTTTGCATTTGTGTCTGTGATCATTTTCGTAGCTGTCTTAAGATTCATTTTTGAGAATCATTTGTTTTTACAAATCTTAACAAATCTTTTGAAAACCTTTTATTTTAATGAGTGCATGTGCTATATTAACTGTTTTGTTACAGGACATTAGGAATTCAGATTTGTGATTGAGACCATGCGATGAAGTTGTTTAGCAATCTGTTTAAGCATGAAGTTCCATGAAATACAGATAACCATTAATCTCACAAATTCATATTTTGCTGTTTTTATGAGAGTAGCTTGATCACCATCTCCTGCAAACTTCTTGTGAAGAGAATAATGGAGTGTATTGGCCCTAAGACTCTATGGAGAACTTTTCTTAATTGAACTGTAGGATCATTTCGATAAGAAGAGATTAGAGGTCTCTAGACCAAGCCTCCTGCTCAAGACAGGGCTGATTTCAAAGCTAAATCAGGCTCATAAAAACCTGACGAAGCACTAGGAAAGGTAATGAGTGTCTGTTAAATGACAATCCTCTGACAGGCTAGCACAGCTGCCTGTGTTGTGGGTATGAAATGGAGGGAGATATATAACAATCTGACTGGGATAAATCTAGGCTTCCTGCAAATGAAAGCCTCAACAGAAACAAAAAAGTATTTCTCTCCTGTTCCATCCGTGGGGTTCCAGCAAGAGGAACTGCTGTGGGCAAATTCATAGTGTTTCATGCAGTTTCTGAGATGTCTGGTTCGTGTTTTGAGGAATCTGTAACCTCTGGCAGGTAATAAGCTGAAATTCACCAAGCTCAGTGAACCAAGAGGACAGTATGGAAGAACAGGGCTACAGGCCTACGATGGTGGATCTAATTCTCTGTCCCAAGCAGAGCTCACATTGGGAGCAACCACTTTTCTCCAAAAATCTCTGCTTTCCCTTTTTTTTCCCCAGCTATTGTTACTGACTTTCAGTAATCGCTGTGTCCCCCAGGTTGACAAAGCTGATGCCTCGTTTTCTTTCTTCACCTCTGCCCCAACCGGACTTCATAGGCACAGTCATAAAAATCTAATTTTATCTTCAAAGGAGATAAAAACAAGGATACACATTCTAATCAAGATTCAGACTGTCTGCTGGTAAATCTTTTGTCCAGTTCTCAATTTTGGAATTTTTTTATTTTTTTTTTTTGTCCTGCCTTTGTAAAACTTTGCTCAGCTCTGCTCAGTAGTTTTGGATGAAAAATTACTTCTGGAAAATGTAGTTTAATAAAAACCAGCATGAATGTATTCATTCTGATGAGTTCTTCAGGTGGAAAGTACTTTACTTATTCTCTCTCACTTTGATTTGGTGATGTTGACATATTAGAGGGGTGGTTTATTCCTATATTTTGAAATGTATATATACTGTATTGAGTAGGTAATATCTTTGAGGTTTTGAGAACAGCAGATTTTTGGTTTGTGTGCATTTGGAATTTTCCTCCAGACATTGGGATGTTTCTATTCTGTACGGATATACATCTGAAAGTTTTTTTTATGAAATGGAAGCCTACCACCAAGTTTCACTTCCTAATTCTTTCAAAATTATTTTAAAATAAAGATAAATCCTTTTTTTTTTTTTAAATGGTCACAACAGAACTTTTTCATGAGAACAGAGTAGAATGATGACTCTCTTCAATGAAAAGTACGTGAGAAATAAGGGCTGCTTACTAACAAGCTTCAGTACTGAGCTGTTGAGATAGGTCATCTGCTGTGCAAGAAGCTACCTCCGTAGAACCTTTTAGTAAACAAGCAGCCTCTCCCACCTATCTTCTTTGTATTGCCTGTGCAGGGGTATACTTAGATTTTTCAACATTTTTCTTCCATAAGTTGTGAAAGGTAGGCCTTGTCACCTCAAGTACTTGGGGATGCTGCGTGGTTACCATAGCAATTTCTTCTTCTAAAAATCTATTTTGCCGTGTACTGTTTTGTGACAGTGGAGCACAGGTATTCATTCATTACTGATTCTAGTTCTATCAATCTTACAAGTATAACTTGATCCCTGTAAGTGGTGTGCTAGTCTAAGAAGGCTGTATCCTCTCCACTCAATCTTGTCATGTACTTGATATAAAAGGGAGGAAGCTGTCCTTGCCTGTATCACACAGGTAGACAGGGTATCCTGTGTGTCTCCAGATTAATTTCTCTTTATTAGAGTAAGAAGCTGTTGGGGATAATGATGATATTTGCCACAGCAGCCACTTTTAGCAGATGCTATAGCACTGATGAAGTTGAAACTAGGTGACTTTTCTCAGAAAAGTAATTTGAACTCTCTTTGGTAGCAAACGATGATGTCGCTTCCAGTACTATTTCTTTCTTGCAGGAAAAGTGTAACTAAGATTTAAAGGAAATGTTATTAACTTTAAGTGTACTTCAGGAGAATGGGCTTATGATAGTAGACTTTCCTTTAGAATTGTACTGAGATGTATTTTTGAGAGAACTATTTTACTTTGGGCCATCGATATGTTCTTATTTGATTATATTTTTTAATCTTCACATTATTTTCACATAAGCTTTACATAATTTTCATATTTTAATATATAGAATCATACAATAATTCATGTTGGAAAGCCCCTCTGGAATTTTCTAGACCAACTTCCTACTCACAGTAAGATCAGTTACGAGACCAGGTTGTTCAGGGTTTTATGAATTCATAGGGCCTGTTAATGCTGGGTACTTTCAAAGGTGAATGAAAACAGAAAAACATATTTATGCAAAGCTTCAGGAACAGCTTTAGCCTTAGCACAAACAATGTAAGATGTAATAGTGCTCATAACATGGTTTTTCATTCTGAGATAGATTATATCATTTCAGAGTGTGGGATTAGTTTGAAGATGTTACTATTCTCTATAAAGTTTGGAAGGAGAGGGTTTACTTTCTGTGCAAGCGTATTTGTGTCAAATTTATTGGCAAGGAGAGCCCAGTAAAAGTGAGTGCTTTGCTGCTATATTCAAGTTGTCAGTTTAGATGGAGGGTTTCTAAATAGAATTTTGAGTGTGTTAGATTTGTGTGTCATCTGCAAAAACAACCCTGAAGGAGAGTTCTTCCCTCTTCGTGCATCTCTCATCAGTTTCTGAAATTGCAGACTAAGACTAACAACATAACTTGACTTTCTTTCAAAATTCCTCCTCATTTTTTTCACTGACTTGTACCTACTTCTAATGAAATCTCCATGAATTTTCATAATGTGGATTTAACTCTGTTGTCATTAAGATTTCAAGGCTTTACAGTGAAAAACAATAGGAGGTTGGACTGGTTCATTTTTTTAAAAACCTGAAGTGCTTCGACTTTGGAATGTTAAACTATGTATTACCATACCTACGTCACTGTGAAGCCAGATTACAGGTCATTTCGTGAGAGTATGAAAAGAAAAACCCCACCCATCTGAAATTCCAGTTCTCTTAGTTTTCCAGAACGTGGTTGAAGAGTGTCTCCATATACATTGCTAACACTATGGCCAAGGTAACCTGAAGAGGTCAGAGTACCTGTGTTGTCATTTCCCTCTTTGGAAAACACCTACAGGTTGTGTTCTAGACTTTAATCATGGACTGAGTTTGTCCCTCTAAGGTCATGATGACGTAGTTCAGTAAATAATATAATAAATGGTATTGCATAGGTGAAAAAAATATGGAGCATAGAAAACATGTGCCAACAATTCAGTTCAGTCTGTTCATGGACTTGCCAAGGTTTCAACCCCACGAAGAGTTTCATCACATTCTTGAGATTAATGCATTACAGAGAAAATAGCTCTCATCCTCAGGAAAAACAAACAAAACAAAACATCACCAGTCAGTGAGGCCCATCAAATGACTACAAGAATTTTTTTTTCTAACAGTGATTTTGTTGCAGTGGAAGACTGAGGTGAAGAGGCTTAGTAGTTTAAAGAATTGAAGGAGAAACAGGTTTGGATGTAACATTTTTAGACTTCACGTATGATAGAAGAAATCCTAACACCTTGTCCTGCTTGGCTACTGTGACTTTTAGGTTGGGTTTGGGTTTGGTTTTTGATAGTTTTTTTGTTACCATTAGTGATTTAGTTGCCTACTTTTCTATCAAAATATACTGAAAGGTCTGTAGAGCACTATATATTGGAGTGAGAGTGGTTTTCTCATTATGATCTGTTCAGTAGCATCTAGTAGAGATGTGTGTCAAAAAGATAGTTGCAATACCTATTTTATCATAGGGACTATTGTCTTCTTATATGGGAGATCATCCAGCTTGCTTAAACAGTATCTAATATTAGTGAGAAACTAAGGCCAGAATAGACTAATAATGCAAAGGAAACATGAAATTTTTTGTTTGAGATGTTTTTCAGTAATGAGGCATAACTTATTCTAGAAGTTACAGGAAAAATTCCATTATAAATCATGTGCACTGCCTAAGTTTCAGTGGACCTGGCCTTGTCCAGAGCTGAAAAAGAACATTAGAATATGAGGAGGTTTAGAAATATTTTCTCTGTCAATTCTTGACTCAGCTATTTCTATTATCTCATGCATTGTCACTACCTCAGACTACACTGAAGCATCTTTTCCCTATGAATGAAGAACAACTTAAAACTTTTTCACTTGTCATTTCTCTGTCATGTAGCAGAGCTAGTCCTTTACTAGAGATGGGTGGGGCTCATTATACTGTTTGGTTTTCTACTCTCTAATAAGAAAACAGTTTCTCTATTTTCCTTCAGAATGCTTGGAAATAGGTCTGGAAGAGAAAAATAGTCAATGAGCCCAGTGTGTCTCTGTTTCTTCCAACTGCACTGAGATTAATTTTCTCAGGCTGCAGGATCATACATTTTGGAAGGTCATCTGGTGTTAGGAAGAAAAGGAAGATCTTGATATGAGTCCACTGATCTCCAAAAATGAGAAATCTGCATTGTAAGCCCCCTTCCCAAGCATGCAGATTCCAGTGTTTGAACACCCCACTAACCAATGAATGAATAATCGAAACTTGTCAAAATTTATGGGATTTGGTGTATCAAAGAATTGGGCAAA